GGAGTCTAAGTCCCAGGCTGCCCTTCACCAGGGCCCCTGATGGTGGGGATGGACTTGACGCAGCCAGGAACCAGGTCGCGGCCCCCGAGACACCTCAGCTGCGGTAATGGCCGCCGCCAATGGCGTGTAGCTGGTGGAAGAGACAAAAGAGTAGTCAGACAAGCCGGGGTCAACAACAGCAGGACAAAACAGTACAGGACAGCAGACGAGAATCACAGGTCACAAGCCGGGTTCAGCAACAGAGGGTCAGATCAAAGGAGAATACAAAGAATAGTCGAGTCACAAGCCGAATCAGAATACCAGGAGAGTCACGAGAGTCAGAACAGAGTAATAGTAACACCAAGACACAAGACACAAGTGCGAAGAGCATGTGCGGGCCACAGGCTTATATGTCATCAGCCACGCCCCTCTGGGGGGTGGACCTCGGAGACCTGAAGGCATAAAAAGGATTCCCATCATGCAGAGCAGAATCCAAGATGGACGCCAGCACATGGAGTAACATAACTCAGGGAAAAGGTAGGACCTTGACACCGATCCTCTGCCCCCCTGACATTTTTTACTGCACCCCCAAATCAGACAGGCTACTAACTACTGCATGTAGTACAACTACACTAGCGTCCCTTTTTATTCCTGTAAAACTAAAAGTCCCGGTTTGACTTGAACGCCCCTTGTATTTATTATCTTCAACTATTTTTAGGTTTTCTTGGCTGTGCTTCCAAAAAGGAGTGTTTGATTTGCTTTAATATAGATAGCACACAGATGGTCTTTCAGATGTAGCATCCCCCTGACCCCTTGAGGCATGATGGAACCCCCAGAGACAGGGTGAGCTGACCTTTCACCTCAGGGTGTAGATTACTTAGGCAATAGCGTAATGTGAAGAAATGGGTGCTAGTTACTTTAACCTCCCTGGCGGTATTCCCGAGTGTAGCTCGGGGTAAAATTTCAGTAACAAAAGCGGTAACCCAGAGCTACACTCGGGCTTACCATGCAGCGTTGCTCAGGGATTCCCTGCAGCGCTTACCTTGTCCTTCACTCCCGCGGTGCGTCCCCTGCAGCATCCCTGGCCATCTCCTCCGGCCGATGCCGGCATCCGGCTTCCGTGTTCCGGTCCCTGCGAGCGATGGGACGTACGGGGGCCGGAACCGGCGGCAAATTTAAAAATTTTAGAAACTGTCATTTTCTAATAAATGAATATGACATAGTAAAACATTGCTGTTTCAAACCATTTCACATACATTTTGTCCCGAGTGCTTTGTTCTGTGCCCTGCCTGCATTTTGACTGTTCTTTCTGCCTGGAACCTTAGAAAAGTCCACGGCGTCCAAAATGCGTCGCTTTAGGTCAAAAGCGGTTTTAGACCAGCTAGAGAACAGCGATAGTAAATCAGAAACACTTGCAGAATTGAGTGATAATGATTCATGGGGAAATTCGTCATTAGACACTGAAAACGATTCTGCGACTTTGCTCAGTGATGTGCGAATTTGCCTCTGTATTTAAAATGTCAGTGTTTTGGTTTGATTATATTATTGAATTAAAATTATTATTATATTATTATTTTTTATGATTATTTATTAAATTATAATTTATGATTTCGTGTTTCAAGTTTTATCCTACCCGGGATGTTTACTAGACTCTTGTTCGGACAGATTTCAGTGAGTTATTCCTAAAAATTACTACTACTACTACTACTACTACTACTACGAGTTTATATAGCGCCAAAGGGTTTGCTTGGCGCTGTACAATAGGGGGGACAATACATGGCACAGTACAACAACAACAAACAACGTACGAGGGGTAAGAGGGCCCTACTCTTACGAGCTTACAATCTAGGAGGCCTTAAAAATTACAGGCCTACAATATAAAACGCCAAATTTCCATGCAAAATAATGGTACCGCTTTCAGCACCAAAAATCTGAAATAATCATACCGCCAGGGAGGTTAAGATGCAAAACAAAAAGGTATTTATTAGCTCACACTAAAATTCCACGGAGAGAGGGAAAGGGCATAGGACACCCATAAACTAGCAGACTAGCAAACTTCACAAAAGGGGAACAAAGTACTCACAGTGCTCACAGATAAAGAACCTTGAAGCCAACCCAGCATTCTATGATTGCAGCTCCTGACAGTAAAGCACTTGAAAGATCAGTTGCCAGCATGCTGGGAAGAAGACGCCATACTCCAGTGAGGTGCAAGCTCCACATCTGAGCTTCTCCCAGCCTCTGTGGACATCTAGAGATCTTCCATGGCTCCTCAGTCCCCAGACTCCAAAGGCTAGGCCCAAAATTCCTTCTTCTTTTAAGCCATATGGCCACTCACTCAGGCAATAGGTCTAAGAGGTTTTAACAGCACAACACATCTTTCCCCCAGGCAGGAGGCCCAGGGGAGAACAGACTGACTTCCCAAGGTCAAACTCTGTGTATATACCCTTTCCTAGCATTCACCACCAGTGGCAAGGAAACTCCTAATGGTTGGCCAGGGAGAAATAAATATTCATACCACTGATTAGTGTAGCTCTCATACTATTGCCAGAGACAGCAAGGGCAACAGAATGATACACACAAGATCCAGGGCCCAGGAGAAAGACAAAGAAGATAAACTATCAATTCAGCTAAGTTGCTTGTAGCTTAGCACCACTAAATTTAAATAGACACTCCTGCTTAAGGCAGGGTGGCTTCACAGCTATCATGGTTTAAAACATGTCGGCCAAGTGGTCACCACTCTTGTGCAGCAACACATACTTAGGTTCATTTCCCATCACTGACTAAATAGGTGTTGGTTTCCACCAGTTCAAAGCATATACAGTGAGGAACACAAGTATTTGAACACCCTGCGATTTTGCAGGTTCTCCCACTTAGAAATCATGGAGGGGTCTGAAATTCACATTGTAGGTGCATTCCCACTCTGAGAGACAGACTTTAGAAAAAAAAGATTCAGGAAATCACATTGTATGATTTTTAAAGAATTTATTTGTCTTGCACTGCTGAACATAAGTATTTGAACACCTAAGAAACAGCAAGAATTCTGGCTCTCAAAGACCTGTTACTGTTCCTTTAAAAAGTCCACCTCTACTCCACTTATTAATCTAACTTAGTAGCACCTGTCTGAGCTCTTTAAAGACACCTGTCCACCCCATAGTCAGTCAGACGCCAACTACTACCATGGGCAAGACCACAGAGCTGCCAAAAGACACCAGAGACAAAATTGTGGACCTCCACAAGGCTGGAAAGGGCTACGGGGCAATTGCCAAGCAGCTTGGTGAAAATAGATCAACTGTTGGAGCAATTGTTAGAAAATGGAAGAGGCTAAAGACAACTGTCAGTCTCCCTTGGACTGGGGCTCCATGCAAGATCTCACCTCGTGAGGTATCACTGATGATAAGAAAGGTGAGGAATCAGCCCAGAACTACAAGGGAGGAGCTGGTCAATGACATGAAGAGATCTGGGACCACAGTTTCAAAGGTCACTGTCGGTAGAACACTACGCCATCATGGTTTCAAATCATGCATTGCACGGAAGGTTCCCCTGCTCAAGTCATCACATGTCCAGTCCCGTCTGAAGTTTGCCAATGACCATCTGGATGATCCAGAGGAGGCATGGGAGAAAATCATGTGGTCAGATGAGACCAAAGTAGAACTTTTTGGCCTAAACTTCACTTGTCGTGTTTGGAGGAAAAAGAAGGATGAGTTGCATCCCAAGAACACCATCCCTACTGTGAAGCATGGGGGTGGTAACATCGTGCTTTGGGGGTGCTTTTCTGCAAAGGGGACAGGCCGACTGCACTGTATTAAGGAGAGGATGAATGGGACCATTTATTGTGAGATTGTGAGCAACAACCTCCTTCCCTCAGTCAGCATTGAAGATGGGTCGTGGCTGGGTCTTCCAACATGACAATGACCCGAAGCACACAGTCAGGATAACCAAGGAGTGGCTCCATAAGAAGCATATCAAGGTTCTGGAGTGGCCTAGCCAGTCTCCAGACCTAAATCCAATAGAACATGTTTGGAGGGAGCTGAAACTCTGTGTTGCTCAGTGACAGCCCCGAAACCTGACAGATCTAGAGGAGATCTGTGTGGAGGAGTGGACCAAAATCCCTGTTGCAGTGTGTGCAAACCTGGTCAAGAACTACAGGAAACGTCTGACCTCTGTAATTGCAAACAAAGGCTTCTGTACCAAATATTAACACTGATTTTTTTAGGTGTTTCAAATACTTCTGTTCAGCAGTGCAAGACAAATAAGTTCTTTAAAAATCAAACAATGTGATTTCCTGAATTTGTTTTTTAATTCTGTGTCTCAGAGTGGGAATGCACCTACAATGTAAATTTCAGACCCCCCCCATGATTTCTAAGTGGGAGAACTTGCAAAATCAAAGGGTATTCAAATACTTCTGTTCCTCACTGTATCTTCAGCACACCATGGATCTTCAAAATAGTGTTCAAAAAGTTTATTAACGTGATCTTATCACAACAGAGCAATGCAAAGATGTGGCACCACAAAGGGCTCCTTCATCAGGCAAATGAAAGGTCACAATCCTCTGCTGTGATGTGATCACTTTAACCGCTTGCCCTCCTGAGGATTTACCCCCCTTCCTGACCAGGCCATTTTTTCCGCTATGGTACTGTGTTATTGTAATTGACAATTGCGGCGGTCATGCAATGCTGCACCCAAATGAAATGTACGTCCTTTTTTTCCCACAATGTGAGTTTCCTTTCAGTCGTATTGGATTGCCTGTGCATTTTTAATTTTTGCACTAAAAAAAAAAAAAAACAATTTTGAGAAAAAAAAAACAATAGTTTTGACTTTTTGCTATTAAACATGTCCAGTAAAAAAATAAGAAAAAATCAAATTAGGTCATAAATTAGGCCAACATGTATTCTGCTACAAAAAAATCCCAATACGTGTAAACTAATTGGTTTACGTGAATGTTATAGAGTTTACAAATGGCGATATAGATACTGGAATGTTTTTTTTTTTAATTTTTACTAGTAATGGCAGCAATCAGCAACTCACAGTGGGGCTGCGGCAGGCATTCTGACAGTGGGGGGGGGGGGAACTGACTTGGTGTCACTGACATCCCCAGTGACACCAATACAGTGATCAGTGCTCAAAAAAAACACTGACACTGTACTAATGGCACTGGGCAGGAAGGGGTTAACATGTAGGGAGATCAAAGGGTTAACTGTGTGCTGTGTGTGTTTTACTTGGGGCTGTGTGTTTGTGCTTCACTGTAAGCATACTGCCATGCACAGTAGTGTGCATGAGCTGACAGGGAGGGAGAACTGTTTTGTTTACAAACAGTTCTCCTTCCCATCTGAGATCGTCGGCCATCACTGGGCGCCGGCGAGTAATCACCTGGCGGGACTCGGTAATTGACAGCTGCGGCATCGAATGACAGTAGGGCGTGCGTGCCACCTACCCAGAAATGCAAAACCACGTAATTATACACATGATTTTGAGCACCCGTGCCACCCTGTAGCAGTATTTCTGCTGTAGGGTGGTCGGGAAGTGGTTAATAAACTTTTTAAGATCAACGGTGTGCTGAAGATATATGCTTTGACTTGTGTTGACACCAATTCCAAGCTGGTAGTGGCTACAGCACCTTTTTACAGGCCATTTTCATGAATATGCGTAATAGGAATATTCTACTTGGTTTCCTCCAGGTGGTACAACTTGCTCGCTAAATCATGCAGGGGGTTTCTAAATCAGCCCTGAAGTATGTTTGCATTAATATAGTACTGATATGAAATTGAAGCCCTTAGGGAGCAAGGACTTTTGGAAATGGATCTGTGCTGCATAATGCTGTAAATGTGTTAAATATATAAAAAAAAATATGTTATGAGAGGATATTAGCACAACAAAGGGGGGTACCTGTCCTCGCCGGCTCTTCTCCACTTTCAACTCCCTACTCTCTCCCCCCCACCCAGTACCTCACTCACTGCCTATGAGATTGCCAATCACAAAATAAGATCGACGCAATCTGTAAGGACATCGCCAATGCTCAACATACCTCCCCAAATAGCCTCCCTCCCACTATAACCCCATCCTCCCCTCCTCTGACCTCAAAACCGCCCTATCCCCCACCACACCTAACGTCCCGCACACACTATAACCTCCCCAACACTCCGCTTCTTCAGCCTTGCTACCACTGAGGAGGTCACTAAGGTCTTCTCAGAAGCCCGCCTCACCACCTGCCCCCTCGACTCTGTCCCCAAACAACTCCGGTCACCCTCCTCCTCTATCTTACGCTCCCTCACCCACATCTTCAATCTCTCCCTCTCTACTGGCGCATTCCCCTGCCCCCTAAAGCACGCGCACATCACCCCATACTCAAAAAACCCTCTCTGGACCCCACCGACCTGAACAACCCATCTCCCTGCTGCCATTTACTTCCAAGCTCCTTGAGCGCTTAGTCTACAATCGCCTAAGCACCCACCTCACTGACAACAACCTCCTAGATCCACTACAGTCTGGCTTCCGTCCCCAACACTCCACCGAAACCGCCCTACTCAAAATCACTAATGACCTGCTAACCGCCAAAGCTAATGGCCACTACTCAGTACTCTTACTCCTCGACCTTTCCGCGGCCTTCGACACAGTCGACCACCCCCTCCTCCTTAATAAACTACACTCCCCTGGCATCAGAGACTCCGCTCTCTCCTGGATCTCCTCCTATCTATCCAACGCTCCTTCAGCGTTACCTATGAAGCTACCACCTCCCCCTCTCCCCCCTCTCTGTTGGGGTCCCCCAAGGCTCTGTCCTCGGGCCCCTTCTCTTCTCCATCTACACCTCCTCCCTCGGCAAACTGATACACTCCCACGGCTTCAACTATCACCTCTACGCCGATGACACGCCTCACCCCTTCAGTCTGCGCCCGTATCACCCACCTACTGAACGACATATCAGACAGGATGTCACTCCATTTCCTCAAATTGAACCTTTCCAAAACCGAGCTCCTGGTTTTCCCCCCAGCCTGTGCCCCCCCCCCCCCCACCCTCTCCATCACGACCAACAACGCCACCATTAGTCCCACCCCACAAGCCAAAGTCCTAGGTGTCACTCTAGACTCAGACCTGTCCTTCCAACCCCATGTCCAATCATTGGCAAACTCATGCAGGCTCCACCTCCGCAACATCTCCAAAATACGTTCGTTGCTAACCCCAGACACTACTAAACAACTCGTTCACTCCCTTATCTCACGTCTGGACTACTGCAACTCCCTCCTCACCGGTCTACCTCATCACAGACTATCCCCGCTTCAGTCTATCCTGAACTCAGCAGCCAGACTCATCCACGTTACCAACCACTCCGCTTCTGCCACCCCCCTCTGTCATTTCCTCCACTGGCTCCCGATCGCCCAACGCATTAAATTCAAACTACTAACACTGACATACAAAGCCATTCATAACGCTGCCCCAAACTACCTCACCGACCTGATACCCAAATACCACCCTACCCGTACTCTTCGCTCCTCACAAGACCTCCTACTTTCTAGCTCCCTAGTCTCCACCACCCACGCCCGGCTGTGGGACTTCTCCAGGACTTCCCCCATCCTCTGGAACTCACTACCCCAATCCATCAGACTGTCACCTACCCTCCTCACCTTTAGGCGCACGCTGAAAACCCATCTCTTCAGGGAACCCCTCGTGTTTTGTTACTGTATTGTCTTGTGTTATGTCCCCCACTATAATGTACAGCGCTGAGCAAACCTTTTAGCGCTATATAAATACTGTATAATAATTTTTATGGATATGCCTGATGATGCAAGAGTGATGATGTCATCACACATTGTCTAGAACAGCTATTCTCAACCAGTGTCCCAAGGAACCCTAGGGTTCCTCCAGATGATGCTAGGGATTTCGTCAGCTGTGGCTTCCATCAAACAGTGCCTGCATAGTTCTGAAGCCAATGTCACTTGGCAGAGCTCTTTTTAGCAGTCTGTACAATAAGGGTGGCATTGTGATCACCACTGTAGGGGCATTTGTCCCACTGGCACCCAAAAAAATTCATTTTAGCAGTGGTTCCCCAGGACTTGAAAATCATTTCAAGGGTTCCTCTGGGGTGAAAAGATTGAGAAAGGCTGATCTAGAAGGACATTACTTTAAGGGCAGCAAGGTATAGAATTCAATACCATTCCAAGTAAATTTACCGTCAGCCACAAGTGAATAATTCTTCTGTAAATTAAGCACATGATGGGTAGAGTTGAGAAGGCACAGCGAAGAACTCTTTAAAATATATTGACTTAAGGCATAATTAAATTGCAGAGAGCCTACTGAACACTGTTATGAAATTAACTGTCATAAACAGGCTTCTTGATTCTTCTGGTGGAGGCAAATCCACCACAACGGAGAATGTCAAGTTACTGGATTATATATGCAAAGGCGCCAGATCTCTGACCTTTACTTTTATGGCTGTCATGAATCAATGCAAATGATGCTTTTAGCATATGCATATTGCAGATGATCGATTTTTTATACTTCATTAATGGAGATTGAGTTTAAGTCCTGGTGAAGACACCACCTTGTGCACTGTGTCACCATTGCAGTACATCATAACCATCTCTTTCTTCTTTGTCATTAATGAAGTTGGTCTTGTGAACTCTAAAGAGGAACATAATGGAGCCGATTTATAAAATTGCAAAGAAGCATTCTGTTCTACAGCAGCCAGTCATGTGTCTTCTCTCATTTTCAACATGTACGAGCCAAAATGACAGTTGCATGCTGTCAGACAACTATGGAAACACACAAATTACCCAAAAACTGTGAAAAATCCACCATAGGAAATCATGAATGCACATTTTTTAATGGCATTTTCAGGATGTGTGCTAATCAAGAAGTAATCTGACAAGCATGACGATGGCTGAGAAGGATATTTACAGTGAAGTGATGGATTTCATAATAGGCATAACAAACCACGCTAACCCTAGGTTCACACCTAGGCATTTTCATCAGCATTTTGCAGAAACGCACAGCAGTCCATTTAACATGATTTCCTATGCAACATGTTTTCACCCAGTGTGGTTTTTTGGAAAGGGTCAGGGACTTTTTTAACCACTGTCCGGACACTTTTACACCCTTCCTGTCCAGGCCAATTTTCAGCTTTCAGAGCTGTCACACTTTGAATGACAATTGCGTGGTCATGCAGCACTGTACCCATATGAATATTTTAGCATTTTTTTGAGACATATAAAACTTTATTTTGGTGGTATTTATTCACCACTGGGATTTTTATTTTTTTTGCTATATAAACAAAAAAGTCCCAAATTTTGAAAAAAAATGTTTTTCTTATAAAATTTTGCAAATAAATAATCTTTCTTCATAAATCATGGCCAACATTTATTCAGTTATCTTTTTAGTGAAAAAAAATAACCCAAATTAGTTTATAACCAAAAATTATAATTTTTTTAAACTTTTTTTTTTACATTTTTAATTTATTTTTTTTATATTATTATTATTATTTTTTTTTAACATACTGTCACCCTAGCAGTACAGTGTCACACTGTACTACTTGTGGAATGTGATGAAGATTGTTTTTTTTTTTTACACCGTTAGCTTTTACACACATAAAAGGCTGTAAAAGCAATCATTTCTCTGCATTCTTGCAGCCATTAAGAAAAACTGTGCGAGCTGTGATTGGTCACAGCTTGTCACATGGTACAAGTCTGTTGTGAATAGCCTTGTACCATGTGATCTCTGTGATCATTCACAGATTTCACACGTAGTAAGCAATGATGTCAGAAGTGACATCTTGCTTACACCTATTCATGTGATCACTGATTGGCCAATCAGTGATCACATGATCGGGACCTCATACAGAGGTCCCGTGCAGCGATCGGTGTTCCACAGCGGGCACCGGATCGCGGTGTCACGCGCTTACAGGAAGCGCGCACAATCCAAAATGGCGGGCGCCAACCAGCCCCGCCGACTGCCACCGTCCGGCCGTTTATATACAGTGGCTGGATGGGAAGTGGTTAAACACAAAAAGTAGCATTTTTGGTTTCTAGAGACTTCAATAGAAAGCTGCAGAAAAGCATGTAGTGCATTTTGATGCATTTTAATCTGCCTAGCAACAAGAAGAAACTTTTTTTTTTCTTTTTTTTTTAGACAGAAACAATTGAGTACTGTCCGTGATACTTTTTTTATTTGCACTAACATACAATTTTGAGGACAAGCTTTCGGGGAGTGTCCCCTTCTTCAAGGTCCAAGCAGTACTATACAAATCACAAAGTTTTAACAGAATGTTAGAAGAGATGAAAAAAAAAAAAAAGAGGCTAGAGATAAGACACAGCAAAAGCAAAGGGAGGGGGAGATTTTATTTTTTTTTTTTAAATGCAAAACGCATCAAAAACACATGTGCAAAATGCGCACCAGAAATGGATCCAACACAAACTGCATAGGTGTGATCCTAGGGTAAAAAAATGTTAGGTTTAGTACAGACGAGTAGAAACGTACAGCAGAGGTCGCATCTGAGTGTAGAAGTATAAAAACTCATTTTTTACACAGCATGTTTATACAGCTACACTCAGATGTGCACTCTGCTGTCCTTATCTATTCGGCTCCATGTACACTGCAGCTAATAAACGTACGTTTAGGAGCATTTCTGCATTTTTTCAGCAGCCCCTGAACGCTCCCTAATGTTTTCCTATGTGTCCATGTACACATCGTCGTTTACAGTCATTTGCAGGCAGTTGAGTTTACAGTCATTTTTTTAATGCACCAAACTTGCATTCAGGAGTAGATTTTACCGGCATTTCAAACGCCAAACACTTGTAAACGTGGTTAACTGCGTTTATAAGCGTTTGCGTTTAGAAGAGTTTTTTTTTACTGTTCCATGTCCAGATGCTGTCCAGAGCTTTTTTTCATAATCAGAAATGCATGCAAAGGGTTTTCCATGTACTCAAATGGACCCGATACACCAGCGTAGTCAGTTCCAGATTTCGCGTGAAGGAACAAATGGTAGAACGTGCGTCATTATGGGATCTATAGTTAATACAACCAGAAAAGACCAGTCATCTCCACACATACTGCTCTCCCTGCTTCTGCTCTCTCAATTTCTCTCAAAATATCTGACATTGTAAATTTTTTTTTTCCCATAATGTTTATTAGGAAAGCACAGAACATACAAAAAGTACATCAAGAACAAAGAGATACAATGTGATAATGAAAATCGCAATGTAAAACAAATACCATACAGTGAGAGATGCTAAGGAAGACAGGCAGAGAAAACGATCTCATGTCGCACATACTATGAATGATATTCGATTAGAGGAGACGACGCCCGGTCACAGCAAGAATGAAGGCACTTAATACCCATAACCAAAATAAGGCGTAAGAAATCCACAAGATCAATTGTTTATTCCCCCATATATCTTACGTCATGTAAAAGCAGGGTAGGGGGGCAAAGGATGTGGGTAGAGGCTCAGTACATCCTATAGAGGAAAGCTGGTGTAGATGTGTAGAGAGCTCTATACTATCCATGAGGTATGATGGGGGCTACGATTAGTGGTTACCAGTATGTGAGGAGAGAGGTCTTTGTGAATCGGATAAAGCGTATTTGTAGATTGCTTATGGGTATGGGAGTATGTCGCCTATGGGCAGAGAAAAGAGTGGAAGGGTAGGAGGAGGAGAGTAAGGTAAGACATGCAAAATAGAAAGGAGGAAAGGGAAGGTAAAGGGAAATGATAAGAAAAGAATTGGAGGGGGGGTAGGGAAGGGTGAGGAATGGAGAGCCAGAAAAAGAGCGATGAGAGAGAAAAAAAAGAGAAAAAAAAAGAAAAAAAAAAAGAGAAAAAAAAGAGAAAAAAAAAAGGGGGGGAGGGTCAGAGGGACAGGAAGGAGACTGGGGAGGGGGCGGTGTAGTCAGGCTTACTACAGGTGTGGAAACTCCAAGGACATAACAATTATAAGCAGCCCCGAAGGGGATATAAGCCTGAGTAAGGCAATCGGGTGCATTGGTCATGAAGGTAAGGGTGTCTTGCTCTGACCAGCGTAAAGGGTAGGAAAAAACAGCTGGACAACATTAAAATGATTGAGGGGCGATGTGATGAAGAAAGCAATGTGGGAATGCAGGTTCAGCACAAAGTCAAGTGGAAAGACCCATAAGGGAACGTTATTTGGAGGTCGTTTGGAAGTGAGTCCAGCTAGACCAGATATGGGAAAATTTAGTTGGTTTATCGTTTGATGAAGCAATCAGCTCCTCCATCTCCTCAACTCTTCCCAGACGTGTGAGCCAATCTCGTATGGAAGTGAGGTGGGTAGATCCCCAAAGAACAGGTAGACAGAGTATAGCCGCATTGAGCATATGCATAGTGAGTGATTTGAAATAAAGGAGTCTGGGAAGAGAGGTATGGTGGAGGAGAAATTGGGCCGGAGAAAAAATCAAGAGGTATAGTGGATACTGATGAAGTTTTATGGTGAACCTCCTGCCTGAGGGGCTGGATAGATGGGCAAGACCAGAAATTGCTAATTTTTTACTGTTTTTCAGTGCATTCTGGGCATTTGGGAGTTTCTCTTGAAGTTATCTTTTAAAAACACTTCTAAATGCAAACCCACGTATGCAAAGGTGGCTAAACTAATGTTTTTTAACCTACATTTTCTAGCAGTCAGTTTCCATCGTTCAGAAGCATTTTACAAATGCCCCGTATACATAAGCCCTTACCATAGAGAATCTTCAGCCTCAGTATTGCACTACAGTGTTTTGGAATCACTCCACCACCACACTCAGTTCCCCAAAGCCATCCCTTGCCAGATTGTTGGTCACATACACTACTATGACATATCTCTCCACATACATGCTTAGTACAGACCAGTGTCCTTGTGGCTTCTGAGCCCCATCCAGTGGTTTAACAATATCCATAGCAGCCCAAGCAGTTGTTTCGGGCCTAGAATAGGAGGAGGGCCCCAGCAGGGAGGCTGTTGCTGAAAGTGAAACTTTGAAGGGCTGAAGTCACATCTCGAGATTGTAGACAGTCACACATCCTCCTCTGGGCAGTAAGAATCATATCCTTCTCTGTCATGTGTCAAGTGCAGATTTATTACTCTTCTGTATCTTCTCTCCATATACTGTATACAATCAAAATTCCATATGAGTTTTCCTTCATCTAAAACCATACAGGACAGCTGGGGTCATGGCTGACATTGCTGACTGCTATAGAGTGCATTAGCCAGGGTGTCCCACCATTTTATTATGGTGCCCCCTGATTTATAGTCATACCCCTAGCCCCATTATTCATCTAGCTCTTTTTTTTAGTGCATCCAACAGCACTCAATTGAAGCTGCACTGATCCTGGTTTATGTGTTTCACTGAAACCTCTAAGAAAAGTGCCTGCTGCACACATAGATGACTATGCACTTGTCCAGGTCACTTCAAATCAAGGCACATTTGGGCACACCTGTGTAAGCAGCAGGCGCACACTTTGAGGCTTCAATTAAACTAATACACTGTGTCAGCCCTGCATGCTCTGTATTCATCTCAGAGCGGAATGCTGACAGGCGCTCTCTACAAGGCTGTCTAGATGAGCCTTGAAAAGGAGTTTCAACATACGCCATGTTTTTTTTAAACAATAGAAAAGAGTTGAAGCTTCCATACTGTAATACCATGTGTATTGTCTGTTGGCATCCAAATAAAACCACAAAGTAGATACAACTGCATTATACGACCAAAGCCTAGGTGGACACCCCTTCAATTGACTTCAGTGTTTCCAATGAAGGGTGCCTTTAATGCTAGAGCATACAGTTTAAAGACATTTTAGACAACTGTGGGCTTCTAAACTTGTGGAAACAGTTTGGAGAAAGTCCTTTTCTATTCCGGGATGATTGTGCCCCTGCGCACAAAAGCAGCTTTATAAAGACATGGTTTGGCCAATTTGGTGTGCAGAAACTTGATTGACCTGCAAAGAGCTCTGAACTCAACCCTATTGGTCACAACTCTGCTTACCTCAACTGTACTGATTAAAACCCTACTTACTCCAGTCCTACTTACCTTAATGATACAGCATAAAATATGAAGTCATTTTAGACAATTGTGTGTTTCCAAACTTGTGGAAACAGTTTAGGGAAGGTCCTTTTCTGTTCCAGGATGACTGTGGATCTGCGCACAAAAGCATCTCTATACAGACATGGTTTAACCAATTTGGTGTACAGAAACTTGATTGACCTGCAAAGAGCTCTGACCTCAATCCGATTGGCCTCAACTATACTTACCTCAATCCTACTTACCTCAACTGTACTGATTAAAACCCTACTTACCCCAGTCCTGCTTACCTTAATGATACAGCATAAAATATTAAGTAATTTTAGACAATTGTGGGCTTCCAAACTTGTGGAAACAGTTTGAGGAAGGTCCTTTTCTGTTCCAGGATGACTGTGGATCTGCGCACAAAAACAGCTCCATACAGACATGGCTTGACCAATTTGGTGTGAAAGATACATGAGTGACCCACAAAGAGCTCTGACCTCAACCTTACTTCCCTCAATCCTTCTGACTTCAACCCTACTGATGAATTGGTAGCCGTTTGCTAACCAAGTATTATTTTCCAATTTCAATACCTAACCTCAAAAATGCTCTTATTGGTCACACATTCCAAAATACACTCTCTAAAATCTTGTGACAACCAATCCCAGAAAAGTGTAATAGCCACAAAAAAGGAGGGAGGGAGGATAACTGCATAAAATGCCCATGGTTATGGTATGGGATGTCCAACAAACTCAGTGTGATGCTCAGAAGTCAACAAAATGTGGCCTTATAACTTATCAAGCTGAATTACTCTCCACATTGGAACTGGTATTGTTATGTGCAGTTCTGAATCTATTTCTGGCTGCACATCAATATTTGCGAAATGTCACCTCTTTGGCAGAAAGCAAAATTCATATGCTATGAGGGTTATTGCAGTTGATAAATGATTGGTGGGTGTTCACAGATTTTTGGTGTCCATTTTCTATAGCTTATTCAGCATAGCTTGCAGGTCCTGTATT